CCAAGAGGTTAAAAGCCCATTTAAAGCCAAGTAAAGGGGATGAGTTAAGGTCAGAACTCACAGCCATGTCTGGATGAATGGAGCACTAGTTCTCTCATGGTACATGCTAAGAAAGAGAGCCATGTACAAAAACCTATCCGCCATCATTAGCCCTGGTGTATTCTTTTCTGCCATGGAGCCTTCTGGCATTTTTACGTCTCTCTCAGTGACAGAGGTTCCATTGATGTTCCAAGAATCATGGCAGAGTAGAGTTTTCAATATCAGCACTCAGATCCACAACCAGACATGTCCCTCAATGGTGGCCTTGCAGTGGACAAACGGGAACCTCAGTGGTGTTCACCAGGAGCAGGAAGAAGAAGGGGAGAGGAGTCCCTCTTCCACCAATGGGAATGGAGAGAGAGAAAACAAGAGGGGCAGACAGGAAAGCAGCATCCGCCTGAGCACTATAATCATCCGACATTCTTGCAGATGTGTCTTTCATTTTCTCATCATTCATTCATTCAAAAATAGTAACCCATCCTTATATTTGGTGTCAGGGAATAGAAATTTGAGCACAGTCTATCTGTTCTCATCAAATTTCCAGTTCAGTGGAGGACACAAACTTAACCCAGAGAACATATCAGTAAATGTCAACTTTCTGTGGTGATGAGGTTTACAAAGGGAAAGCATCACAGAATCTGGTATGGAATGGAATAGGGAAAGTAAGAGAGGTATGGGATGACTTTACAGAAGATGCCATTTAAGTAGAGATCTCAGTGAGTGGGGGACCAGTCAAAGAACAGGAGAGAGTTCTAGGAGGGAGCGTTTGCAAAGATTCTGGCAGGAGCCCGGGGGAGGCGGGGTGGGGGGGCAGATGCTGGGAGCAGGAGTAGAGAGGGCCCTGGGTGGAGAGCCAGAGCAAAACCAGGCGCACTTGAAGGTGTGGTAAGGAGCTCACATTGCATCCTAAATGTAAAGGACAGTACTGAAACTTCTAACATAATCCCTACATAAGCTTTTAAAAAGTAATCACTCTGGCTGCAGGATGGAGAATGAGATGTAATACTACAAGTGAGATCATTGTTAAAGGGTGTTGGGAAGTTTGGAAGCACAGGATCTTGGTGGCAAGGACTAGAGTGGCAGCAGAAGAGAGAATTTGTCCACAGGAGTCAAAGTTATAAAGGAGGTCATGGTGATTTTGTTTAACCTTCACAATCACTCTGTAAGGGTAATTTTAGAAGTGTGAATGTTGAGACTGTTGGCTCATGTCAGGAATTGGCAAATCTCTGTCTGAGATCTTGGTTACTTTCTAGTCTCAACTCTATCAGGGCACCCTTCCCATATTAGCTATCATTCTTCCATCTCTCTTTGCACAAAGCAGGGGTAACCAAAGTGCTCAGTTCTACTCGTCACGCTTTGCCTTCCAAGGTCTTCCACCATCTTCCCCAACACTATGAAGCCCAGTGCAGGGTGCCTGGCAATAACCTAACCAGTGTTAACTGAATTGCTCTTGAGCATCCTCTTAAACCTCTATTTAGAGATCGAGAAAGTGAGGCAGTCAAGGTCACACAGAAAGATGGAGGCACATTTAGGTCTAGAAGTCACTGTTCCTATCACTCTTGGATAACCCCAGAGACCTACATTCCTTCTGAGCACTTCAAAGATGGCAGCAATCCAATAAATGCCTTGGCCATTGCTACATGCTTTGAGATTGGAAATGACAGCTCAGACCCTACATTTCAGATAGAACTAAAGAGGACCCAGTGAATTGATATGGAGTCCCAAAATGCTATGGAATGATCATTCTTAATGCCTTCCTGGTGTTTCTATCCCTTTCTTCCCCACCTCCTTGCAATGCACATCTCATCCCCCCAGTGGGCTGACTTGCATGGCTCTCGGCAGACCACAGGGAACTGCTGACTCACCACATTTGCTAAGGAGCTTAGATGGCAGCGGCAGAGGTGGGGAGAGCACTGGGTGATAGGAGTCTACACAGGCCTGCAGGTATAAAGAAGAGGAACACAATCGGCATAGCTAATAGGATGACAAAAACCATGTTGTTGAGACACCCTCTCCAAAACAGAGAAGTAGGCATTGGGCCTGGCGAGAGGCAAACAGGATGCAAAGGGAGCTAGAGAATGGAAGCCAGGTGCACTTCTAGAGTAGGGGATTCTCACGGAGGCACAGCCAGTCCCATGGACACATAAGTGAGAAGGAACCTCAGAGACCAAATGTGACCAGCTCCCACCCTTCCACTCTCCATGTTTCAGAGAAGAAAACAGAGGCCTGGATAAGAGTGAGACTAAACTAAAGTTGAACAGTGAGGTGGAGGCAGATTTGAGATCCTTCTCCCTACACAGAGTTGATCCATTGATCCTTCCTCAGTGGATTAGCTCTGCCAAAACTTATTCTCTCCACGCCTAATTTCCCCCTGAAATGCTTTATGGATGGCAAATAATTCTACGCCTCAGAACGACCTCCTGGAGTGTCTAGGGTCACAGACCCTTCATGGAGGATCAGGAAGTCTGCAGAACTGGACATTGCACTCCTGAGTTCACTTGGCTGGGACAGAGGCTTTGCCGGGACCAAATTCACTATCTGTGCTCCACAAAATATCAGAGCAGCAGCAGTCGCAGCAGCAAGACCCATATCAGTAAATGTCAACTTTCTGTTGACAATTTCTGTTGACACCAAGGGCAATGTCAAGAATGGAACACCAAAGGCAATGTCAAGTGCCTGGGATCCTACACAAGGGTAGGGTAGTCACGCTAGGGAATCTAAACATGAAATGCCTTCATTCTTTCTCAGTTCCCTTCCTCCTTATATCCCTTTTCTTCCTATTCTATATGATAGAAGCTCTAAAAAAAAAAAACCAGGGGTTTTACAGTTGTCTCTTGGTTTGTGTCCCTAGTGCTTAGACAAATGGTTGGTGTTGAACAAACAGTTGTAGTATGTATGGGAGGAGGAAGGAGGAAGGAAAGACACCAGGAAATATCTGGAGAAAAGGAGGAAGAATATGAGAAAATAAGAGAAGATGATAAAAAGAAATAGAAATCACAAGAAAAGATGGGAATGAAGAGAAGAGGCAGTGATAGAGGATGGAAAGAAGAGGAGAGAAAATAGAAAAGAAATAAATCAAGCAAGCAAGTAAGCAAACCCCCCAGGATACTGAGCAGGAAGAGAAATAAGTGGCAGAAACGAGAGGTGGAGGAAGAGAGCGGTGCCGTTAGTGGAAAATAAGTGGAAGAGAGACATGAAGCAAGCGGATTGGCATTCCGCTGGCAGCAGGGCCAGCGAGGGAGACAGGGAGGGTGTCACAGCCCTGTCGCCTGTCCTCACTATCCTGAACACAGTCTGGCCGTCTGGAGTGGCCGGAGGCACCAGGCCAAACCGTTTATCTCCTGTCCTGGGGCTTGCTTTTGCTTTTCTTTTTTAAGTTTAACTCCGATTTATGGGGGCCACGCTCAGTGATGGATGTTTTTCCAATTAGCTGTAAATAGCCCAGTCCTGTGAAGGAGACCCACTGACTTCCCCCAGCCCTCATCCTGGCTGCCGGATTGGGGGAGGGAGAAGACAGGTCAAGAATCATCGATCACCGACTTCTAAATCTCCAATGCAGCAAATTCCAGAAAGCTAAGGAGTGGGCAGGAGTGAGCGGCAGGCCCCATTATTCTAATGGCTGCAGAGGCTGCAAGCCCTTCCCAGGGGATGTGGAGATGGAAACACTCCCCATACAGGATTCTTTCCGTGAAGGCACCATGGACAGGGAGACAAGGATAGTCACAATGAAAACTGAACCAACATGAATAATGTCTACCTCATTTTGCCCCAGCCTACACAGGCATAAAACTTAATCAAAATCCATCTCCCAACTCCATAAGATAGTTGTAAAAGCCCACTTTACAGATGAGAAAACTGAGCCCAAAGAGGCTATGTGACCTATGCTCTTTGAACATCTCTGGTGAATGGGTAAAGGGCATGAAGGAAGGCTGGTGGGGGTGATTTCTCTCCCCCTTTCCTGCCTCAGGTGCTCCAGTCTTGCTTAGCTGCCTTCCTTTCAGTAGTAGTCAGAGCCCATAGATGGCCCCATCATTGGCATGGAGAACATGTTTGCATTCCCAGAGTCTCTTCCAAACATGCAATCTCACACTTGTTGATTTCCTATTCTTATAAAATGCCAGGAGATGAAGAACTGGATTCACATTCACAGATGATTGCCTGAAATATGCTATGTTTTCATATATATAGCATGTTGAATCATCAGAGAACTATGGACCTTGGGTACAAAGGATAGTCCTTTATGGAGCTCTGCCCCAGCAATTTGACATCACCTGAATTTGACTATCATCATGAAAAATAATGCATAAATACTGATTTTTTTTTCTGTGCTTGGGATTGAAATCACACAGGCTAGGCAAATGCTCTATCACTGAGCTACACCTCAGCCTATCCCAGATGATATCTGTCGAAGATACTGTCTATAAACCCATTTAAAGTCTTGTTTATAGGGACCACCTTAAGGTCTTTCTCCCTGGTCAACATCATGTAAATGGAATTTTAAGAATAAATGCCCATTTCTCTCCCATAGATTCTGTACATTTTACTTATGAGTATATTTACCTTTACATTTTTCCTCCGAGGGATCTCTGAGTTAAGTCAGCAGTTCTTAAGAACTACATAACATGGTAGACATGGGGTACCTGGAATTAATCCAACCTGAATTTCAGTAATTATTCTTATTCCTGTTTTTCTTTTGATATGATTAGTTATTTCATTTCATGTGTTGAATTTTTAAAAACTGCATAAATTAAAAAAACAATCTCAAGACCTTTGATAGATGATATAGGACAAAATAAATAAAATAGAGAAGAGAGCAGGAAAAACAAAGGTCAATAGTCTGGCCAGGGTAGGAGACACCAAGCTCCATGTTAATCAGAATGGAGAAAATTTAGGTTTGTCACTGATCACAAAATCTGCTTCCACAAACTCCGGTTCTGGAACCTTCCCAAGGACTCTGTTACCTTTGCTGCGACGGCGACTGCGGTACTGCTCTGTGTAGAACGTCAGTTGTGTTTCATCGTCTGCTTCTGAACCTGAAGTCCCCTTGGTTCTCCCAAAGCTGATCCCCCCTGCAAGAAAGCACAATCCACCAGTGAGCCTCACAGACCTCCAGAAGCCTGATAAATCCCTCAACCATCTCACACACGGGCAGCCCCATCCCCAGACTTCTCTTCGTAAATCCCCAGTCACCCAGGAGTCAGCATGATTAATGGGAAGGAGTCCAGGGTCTGCAGTGAGGCGGAGCAGGGTTCCAACCACCGCTAGGCATCTTCCAGGCTGTGTGACCTTGAAGAGACACCTCACCTTTCAGGGCTTTCTCTCAAATAAGAGAAATACTGTTAACCTTGTGAGGTTTGCTCTTCAGATTAAAGAAGACAGAATATGTAAAATACCAGTCTACAGTGGGCCCTGAATCGTGGAGAGCTACTGTTGCTTTGCATGTGGAGCCTACCTCTAAAAAAATACACTCCAGGCAATAACTTAATTTCACACACATTTCAATCAAGGGCTTACTATATGCCAGGCCCAGAGCCAGACACTGGAGACACTGATAAATGTGACTCAGTCCTGGTGAGCCAGGGAATCATAAGCTAGTCAGACAAACAAATGGGATCCTTAGGAGCCTTAAACCTAATTCATGGCTTATGTTTACCACACAATGAGACACTAGGAATATGGAGGAGAGCAATTCATTTCAACATGAAGGACCTGGGAAGGTTTTATGGAGGAGTGAAGATTTAAGTCAGGACTTAAAGGATGGATGGGGCTTCAGTGGTAGAAAAAGGAGTTCCAAGAGGAAGTAATTGTGGAGCATCCCCGAGGATGGAGCCCATGGGCAGCTGGAGGCAACAGCAGGTCTTGTGCTGGCTATTAAGAACATGCTGGAGCCACACCTTGGCCATCCTTGAGTGCCAAGTTGAGGAGAAAGTGGGGGTGTGATTTTTATATTGGGTGTCAAAGAAGGTTTCAGAGAACGAGTGTGAGTTGATGAGGCCTGTGAACCAGCAGGAATGCTGTGAGGATGCCCAAGCCTAGATAGGTGCCAGGCAGGGAGAGCAGTGGAGAGGCTCAGTGATCCTTCGGGTGAAAGATGAGGGCTTTGGTGAGGGTGTGTACAGAGAGGATGAGGAGGAGGATGAGATTGGGTGTGGGAGGTGCTTCAGAGACAAGCACAGGGCACTGTGCAGGGAAAAAGGGTGATGTAGTCCTATACTAAGAACAGTTGATCACCTAGAATGAAAAAAGGAAGGCTGGAAGGAACTGATATTAAATAATTCTGATGCTAGGAATATGGATAATTATTATCTTTACTTTGAGTATTTTAAATTGTTTTTTTTTAAGGATGAGATATAGAAAGAGAGGGATTAAAAGATGGGCAAACTCTTTACCTTAAGGAGAAAGCAAAGATGAGTGTGCTTCTAAAAAGGTTGGGGGTGAGTGGGTGGGCAAGAGAGAATGGTTCGATTTTGAGGACTCTTTAATGGATGATGTTTTGGACATCTAAATAATAGGCTGTCTCTAGAAGGAGACTCAAGAATCCAGTAAAAGTGGTTATCCTGGGTGGAGAATTGAGTGGCTGAAGAGTGGGGATAGAAGGAGGCTACTTTCCCATGTAAATCCTTTGTATCTTTTGAGTCAAGAACTATGCCAACCCATCATGTACTTGAAAGTTCCACCTGAGGAAAAGAAAAGCATAGATTAGAGGAAAATGTTATTCAATTCACGAAAGAATTTACTATGTAATTTCCTCTGGTAGGGATTTGAAATGGCATTCAGTATACAGAAATTCCACTTGCAAACACATTTTCTGCAATACTGTTACTGCAATTCATTCTTTCCAGCAATGTTGTTATGCAATCTACTCTCTACCTAGAAGATTTGTGTACAAGATGGCATGCAATCCCCATCATGATATTCTCATAAGGGAGATGTAATTAACAAACTAGATAATAAAGAAAAGATAAAAGAACATGCTGGGACGTTAACTTGCCAAAAGTCACACCCCTGATAAGTGGGAGAGTCAGGATTTAGGGCTAATTTGTCTTACTCCATCTGGATTGTGTTTGTCTAGTACACAAATTACTTTCCTTGGAAGAACTCGAGCAAAAGCCTTGGGAAAGCAGATTGACTTCAAATGTCAAGGTACCTAGTTCTGTGTTATAAGCCTTGCATACATTATCCAAACTCATTATCAGTAAGAGGGAGGTATCAGTTTCTTCTTCTGTATAGTGGACACAACGAGGATTGGAAAAGGAAAGTAATTTTTCAATAATGAGTGAAGCTGGATTTTGAAAACAAGGAGGACTGATGGCTAAGTTCAAATTTTGAATCTCTTGCTATGGTACCTCTTGGTTTAATGCTCCATAAAATGGAAAGATGAGTTATCATCCCCCTGACACCTCCCTCAGATAGCAAACAAACAGGGAAATCCAAGGACAAAAACAGCTGTTCTTTGTCCACACATGGGTCATCAGGAATGGTCTTATGCACACCTCCACCATCTCCTACAAATAAAGGGGGAAAAAAGGGAAGGAAATAAAAGGAAAAAAATGTGCATGAAGGGGTGGTACTGGAAGAGGAAGGAAGATTTTTGTTTACCTGTGCATAATTCTCAGCCAAGGGGAAAATAAAGGTGTCTAATCAAGCACTTCCTTGTGTACAGGAAGCATTTGTCATTCTTCCTGCTGCTCTCTGAGCAGGAGAGCAGGAGGGAGGGGCCTGTGCCTGTAGAAGTCCACCCAGACCCTTTCCACTGACCCTTTATAGCCACTCCCAGATTTTTAAATATTCTAGATAAATCCTCCCTCTAGACCTTCCTTGGGTCCTACATCCTTTTTACCTTTCCTCCTTTGACAAAACAAATGATCCACATTTTAGTCAGCTTTTATGCTATGACCAAAAGAACTGACCAAAACAATTTTAGAGGAGGAAAAGTTTATTTCAGGCTCATGGTTTCAGAGGTCTCAGTCCATAGATGGCCAACTCCATTGCTCTGGGCTACTGCTGAGGAAGAACGTCGTGGTGGAAGAGTGTGGTGGAGGAGAGCAGCTCAGGACATGGCACCAGGAAGCAGAGAGACTCCTTCACTGTAGACAAAGTGAAGCCCCCAAGGACCCACCCCCCTGCAGCCACACCCCACCTGCCTACAGTTACCAACTACTTAATCCCTCTCAGGGGATTGATGCACTGATAAACCCAATCAGTTTATTTAGGACTCTCATAACCCAATCACTTCACCTCTAAATTTTCTTCCATTGTCTCATATGTGAGCTTTTGGGGGACACCTCATATCTAAACCATAACAACCTACTATGCCTTTCCAACAGTTAACAAATGTGGCCTATAGGATTCAGACAGTTATTTCCCTTCTGGGACAGTCTAGTGTGGGTGTCAAAAAGGTCACCAGGCAATTCCAATAAGAACAGCTAACACTAGCACAGCACTGTCTCTCTTGCAGGCACTGTTCTAAACCCTGGAAGCACTCTGTCTTGTCTTCCTAAGAACCCTCCGGGGTAGGACACTCCTTTCATTTCCATTGGAATGGATGAGAAAATAAAGTTGAAGGGAAATGAGCAGATTCACACAGCTGTAAGAGGCAGAAGCACAATTCAAACTCTGCCAGTGGATGCAGAATCTACTCCATCTCTGTGCTAGGGTATGATAAAATATGAGTGAACAGCTCATTTAATGTCCATAGTCATCCCTGAAAGGGTGGTATCATCAACCTTGTTTTACAGACCAATAACTGTCTCACAAAGGTGATGTGAGGGAGTAAATGGCCAAGCTGGAGTAACAATTGGGTCTGTTACTTGCACTGTCTCATAGCTAATATGAGACAGCTGGAAGAGAAAGAAGAGTGTGTGTTTGTGTGTGTGTGTGTGTGTGTGTGTGGTGTGCATGTGTGCACACAAATGCCTGATGAGTTAATCACTAAGGACTAGCCAGTCTATTTCCTGATTCCATTACAAGGACACACATTCCCCTTCTTCCTGTTCTTCCCCTGAGTTTTGCAATGGTGTTTATTATAGCAGCTCTGATTAAGTTCAGCAGGATCCTAGTGATCCCTCCATCCTTCCACATGTCCAAGCACACAGACACTGTCCAACGTATCTACCGCAATGACTCCCCTTTGGGTCAACCCTCTATTCCCACACCTGCCCACCCCCTTTACCTTCCTGTTAAGTATTCAGGGATCATTTTCAGAGGGGGAAACTGAGGCTGAGAGAGACTGCCTCCAGAACAGCTGGCTCAGAAGAAATATAATGCAAGCCACATTTGGGTTTCAAATGTTCTAGTAGCCACATTAGATGGGTGGGGCAGATAAATTTTCACAATATATTTCACTCAATATATGTAATCCATCATCATGTCATCATGTAAATAACAGAAAATTATCTTATATTTTTCATGAGTCTTCAAAACCCACTGATATCACATCTCAATCCAGACAGTCCACATTTCATGTGCCCCACACCAGAAGGCACAGTTCTGGAGGCATTTATTCAACAGATCTCTGAGTATAACTGACTCCAGGATCTGGGCACGGGAGAGAGTGGAATAAGCTATGGAACCAAGGAACGTGTTCATTTAAAAAATAAATAAATAAATAAATAAAAAGAGAGACTTGGCTGAAAGCTGATGTAGCTAGAATTCTATTAAACAACACTGTTCCAGTGTTCCAGCTCTCAAGGCTCTTAGAGACTTATTTCTTGGTTTCAATGTTAGTTTAATCCATGAACAATTAGAGATAACATCCTTTGTTAGAAAGAAATTAGGCTACCAGAATCAGACATGAGTTCTAATGCTACATCTCACTTATTAGCTATGTGTCCTTGGGCACAGCACCTAATCTCTCTGAACTTATTTTTAAAACAATAAATCTTGAGTTTACACTGTCATTATGAGGAAAATGATATTCTGTACGTGAACAAAGATCAAGAAGGTGAGACTAGAGGGACTTTCCTTCCTTAACGAGTTTAATGGGAGGGAAGGGAATACTGATGGGTAACCGTGGTCACCTCTACACTCTGGTTCAGAAAGGAAGGTGGCAGCCACCCAAGGCATATGG